CATAGAAGGCGAAAATTCTCTGCCCCCCCCCCCCCGCCCCCGCACCTTTCTGCATTCAAAGTGCCAGAGTGGGGAACAGCCCTGACAGTGACAGATCCTGTTACCAGAGCCTGTCTCTTGCTCACAGGTTAACTTTGCTTTATAATTGCAAAGTTTTGCCAGTTGTGGCATAGACCTCAAGCCTCACCCCAGGCCTGTGATACATGGGTTTATGTTTAAGACTTTCATCTTACTACAGCTCCGCAATGACACTCAGACCTTAAAGTGAAGCTGAGTGAGCCACTTTCTATCCTTACATAAGGGAAGGGAATAATGGATTCTGACAACAGGGATATTCAAAAAGTTTCTCAGAAGTTTAATCATGTCTTCCTTACTTATGTAGCTGGAGTCAAAGTATCTTAAATCGTGCTTTTGCACCATCCACACAGCTGGAGGTCAAAGGGAGCACACGTTTCCATTGACTTTCTTTACTCCTTATGAGGAGTACTGGCACTGGTGGAAGTGCCCTCTCAGTTTGAATTAGTGTGTCTTCACTAGACCTGCTAATTCTAAGCTCAGAAGATTGACTACAGCAGCCTTGATATTCTCTGTAGAGCAGACAAACCCGGAGAGGCTTTCAGACCATGAAAGGGTCAGTTCACTATGAATTAAAGCAGTGAATATTTGACTGATCATTAGTGCTCCTGAACTGACATCCAAATTGCACCAGGAAACGGCTGTTTTAAAACTGCATTAGTATGATTTAAAATTGAATTATTTATAACCAGACATTGCCATAGGAATAATTTTCTGTTGCAGCACTTCTCGTTTTCCCAGTCTTTTATTCCAGAGAAGAATGGTTGCTGTTGAGGATATCTGTGCTAGCCCAGGGAACATCGCACCTGCCACCTCCAGCTTGACTTTCGAACAAGGAATTTGCAGTATTCATGAGTGTCTGTGTATTGCAGTATGGACACAGCCACAGCAGAACCATAAGGATTTGTGCTTTGCTTTCCATTTACAATTATATAGTATGACGCTGACCTTTTCAACGCTGACTATTTTGGACAGATAAACTCTACACTCAGACCAATTTGACTATTGCAAACAGAGCCTCAAGTGTATTTTCATCTTCATATTTGATTTGTATTCTCTTTGAAATGTGGATCAGGGTTAGTCATTTTTCCCAGCTATTAGAAGAGGAAAGGAAATATTTTTATGTATTTATAGTTGAACTGGTAAGCGGCACTGACCTTACCAGTATTTCTTTTGGGCTTATCCCATTGATTTGCTCACATTGTGACATTGATTATTTTGATTCTGGTGTTTTAGCTACAAGCTGTGATACGAATAAATCCCACAAAGAAACAGAATCACTTAAAGTGACAGAGCAGTCCTAAAGGCACGGATCCCGAAACCCTTATTCTCGCTGAGCGCTAGCGTACGTCATTGGCAACACTTGTTGTGAAAAGCTGTGTTTTCCATGAATAAATATATGAGAATCTGGCCCCAGATGTACATAAGCGAGAGCTGGGTGTTGCTAGTAATGCAGTTGTGTTATCTGCAGAATATAGAAAAGAGCTATGACTGATGCAGCTGCACTGAACATTTTGTTCATTTAGAACAGGGATTCTCAGACTTCATTGCACCATGAACCCCCTTCTCACAACAAAAATTACTATATTACCCCAGGCGGGAATCAAAGCCTGAGGCCACATGAACATTGCTGCCCCAACATTGCTGTGTGAAAGGGGGAGGCAAAACTCAAGCCCAAGCCCCATGCAGGGAACCTGGAACCTGAGCCCTGGCACCCAGGGCTGAAGCCCTCGGGTTCCGACTTCAGCCCTGGGATCTAGGACTTGGGCTTCAGGCCTTAGCAAGTCTAAGCCAGCTGTGGTGACCCCATTAAAATGGGAAAATGACTCATTTTGGGCTCCTGACCCATAGTTTGAGAACTAATGATTTTGAGGAATGATGTCTGTAGTTCTCAGTGGTTTCAAACCGAGATGCAGCTTCTAATTCTGAGTCAGTTTTGACATTTGCCTCTTGTCAAAATGAAGGATGCACTTTGGGGGGCTCTGTTTGTGGAGTTTAAAGAAAGTTCTTCCCCTCCTTTGCTTTTCCCATTATTGCTCCTCTGAGCTTTTCATCTGACTACTTTTAATACCTATGGTCCTCAGCCTAACTTTCTCAGCTGTTCAACTCTACCTACCCTGAGGGAGGAAAATACCCATACTCTTCAGTTAAATGCTTCCATTATATTAATACAAATATGAGAAAGCCTGAATACTCACACAAGATGCAAATTAATTCATCCTATTTGATTAAACAAAAACTTTTTAAAATGTCACTTTCTTTATAACGTATTCAAATTCAACAATACTTTGTTAACAAAGAGTATGGAGGATGAAGAAACAATATACATATTGTCTTTTAAATGGGTACTTTCCCATAAATGGTTACTTGATACTCA